TAAGATGTTCCAATATGGTCAGATGATGTAAGAAAGGAGAATGTTCATGTGGAGCATAAACACCAGCATAAAACTGATGAGTCAAAGACCTGGTTTCTGGGGTGTAGATTCAACTTCACCCTGCGAGGCACCAGAGATTGAGAATTATATTCAAATATTTTCTCTGAATTCAAGAGAGCAGGGAAAAGAGGAAAACACCATTTGAAATGGTCTGAAAGTTGGATAAATGCCTCCCACTTGGAAATTGGAATTCTTAAGAAAGTAAATCGCTGATTTTTGCAAGAGCCAGCTTTGCACCATCTAATGTCAGTTAACACAGCGGTTAGTTTAATATGGATTCCTGGAGGCCCAGTTCCCTGTATTTATATAGTTGAATTTGGTGCACCCATGAAAAACTGTGGGAACTTGTAGAAATATTTCTATTTGATGATAGCGGATGGAACAAACAACACAAGCTGCAAAATCCATTTGTGATAGGATTGGGTATAACACATAGAGTAACAAAGACAAGCTGCATGATGGCTGCTTTTTTTTAAAATTGTGAATCGAAAATAAAATCGATTTCATTTTCATTTGCCATGAATTGTCCTGTCACGCATAACTGTGTTGTAGAGTTTGTGATGAGCATAGTTCATCTTGCCTTAGGCCACTTTGAATGCGCAATACAGGAGTGAGCTGGTGTTTAATGTGAAGGTGTGGTGCTGACATGATTGTGTCACTGTTATTTCTGTTTATGAACTGTACAGCTCGTGCAGCTTGCTGATAGGTTTCCCTTTTGTGTTATTGTCTTTTGATGTTGTAAGGAATCGGAACACTGTTATTTGACATCGCTCCAGTGACTGAGAGAAGTTAGTTTCATAGTGGTTCAGTGAGCTGCTTATGTTTGATGTTGTATGGGTAAGAGGCAGCCCATGAGTGCCACACTTCCGCCACTTTGTGGATGCTAGATTTAGTCGCACTGACAAACTTCCTTTATTGTTGCTGTTGGCTGAGAGACCCAAAGATTGAAACCTATTGCCCTAACAATGAAGAAGGAAATAAAGAATGAATTTCGATTGATAATAGCACATTTTCACAACCTCCAGATGCCCCAAAATATAATACAGCCAATGTAGTGTCATCAATGTTATGAAATAGGAAGTGCAGCAGCCAATTTTTACACAGCAAGGTTCAACAAACATCACTATATCAATGCTCTGATGATCTGCTTTAATGTTTTTGTCTCAGTGAGAAATATTAGCTAGGTCATGGGGCAGAATTTCGCTGTTCCTCATAATCCAGTAAAAGTAATATTTAAAGCAACTGTATTGACACAACAGGTGTCTTAGAATCATTGAGTCCACACTGTAGGGATTCTATAGGCTGAATGGCCTGCTTCCACATGGTAGGGATTCTCTAATTCTATCCAGCTTGTTGGACGGGAGAAGTGCATAGAGAAGACCGACCTACAGATCACCCCAGGCATCAGTGCTAGCCCCAACCTTATTTAGCAAAAATAAAAATGACTTGCTAACAACCAAGTTGCAAGTTCATCTGCATTAATGAATCTGAATTCTGGCCCATAACAAAGATGTTGGAAAGTTGATGGACTACTGCAGCACATGGTGTTTCCTGCTGAATTCCTCCAATATCATATACAGTAGATTTGCCTTCACAATGCCAGTGGCAAAGAAATTGCTTACCCACGTGGTTAGCCAGAGACTAAATCACAATCCCAACTTGACATAGTCAGGAGTGACTGTAGATCAGACCTTATCCTCCTGGAACATGTGAAGTAAAACAGCAGCAAAGGTCAAATCCAGAAGCTATCCCCTAACCAAATTTGGAGTTACAGGAGCTTATAAGAAAGATGAACAAAATCTTTGTCAGAGACTAGGTTTTGAGGAGCGCCTTAAAGGATATTGCAGCTGTAATGCCAATATAAAACTGTTGCATGACCAATGACATTCAGTATTTGAGACTGGTATTTACATAACACAGCCTATTGAACCTCTTGGGAACATCACAACATTTTTATCTGTCGTTAGCCAGCAAATTTAAGAACTATTTGTTTTGCATAACCATGCTCCAAAAAGCAGTAGTGAACAAAATAATTAGTGAAATCTGGATTAGTTTTGCTGTTTTGAAGAAGGACTGCTGGCTGTACACAAGGACATTTCCCCAATTTCCTTTCTATAATTACACAGAATTTTTCAAATTCGTGTGAATCTTTCGCTCACTTTATTTCATGTGCTAGTTATTCACTGAAATGGTCACGTGAGCTGCAGGTATTCTTTAACAACAGTTCAGAAGTTTATTACAGAAAGGACAGAAATAAGTAAAAAACAAGCTATCAAAACTTAGAATACCCAAAAAAAATCAACCTGTTCCCCAAAAACAACATGTTAGTGATTCCAGTCCAGAGCAATTACTCCTACATATCTACTTATCTGATTCTCCCTAGTTTCTATCCTGTGAACTCTGGAGTCTGTTTTTTCATGAATATTCACAAAACTGAGAGCTTAGACTTTTCCAGCTTTTAATAATCTACAGATTTCTAACTAAATACTCCTGGTTTGGAAGTTGCACAAAAGAAACTTTTCTACCAAGCTAACTTATTAGTTTAATTGCTTTGAAAGAAACTCCTTTCTCGATGAAACAGGGACTATATTTCCTTTTGACGCTAGTAACGTCTGCTTTGAAGTACCTAGTTAATCAGGAGGATGTTTTTTCTTTTCTGATAATTTGTGGCGAGTTTCTTAATGAGCTGATAAAGGAGAAGCATCTTGTTTTGCTGCTTAATTTTGAATTTTGTCAATTTTGATGTCTGGGCACTTTAATTGACCACAGAAATATTCAACATTAGAAGTTTGTCCATTTTTTGACACACTGCCTTAATTGAATCTTGTACCATTCTTCCACAATTTTTTCAAAGTTGAAGATTGTAAATATGCAAAATCTGACATGTACCAAGGTTGTAACCTCTGGTGGAACAACTGAATGATGTCAACAGAATCAGCCCATCACTCAGTGCTAGATTCACTTTATATAAAACATTTTAGTGACTCAATAACAGCGAGCACTTACAATTTTGGAAATGTCAGATGAAAGCTGTACCTTTCTGTATGATTTTACCTGATAGATCTATTATGTAACTATTTCCTTTATTTGTTTCTTGTCAGAGAATTGTTTTTGTCAGTGCTGCATTTAGAATTTTGCCTCTGTTTATGTCTAGAGTTTAACATATTTTGCTCCTGTTAACCTTTATTTTCTTATACAATACCTGAGGCCAGATGTTAGACATGTACAGCAGGGTGCATATGTCTTCAAGTTTAACGTTAATATTATCCTCATAAAATTATTTTCCTAATGTTTGCTAAAAACCAGGAAAAATGTTCTTGTAAATATATCTCTCACATTGCAACTTTGTTTTTTGAGGGGTTTTGACAGAATAGTTAGAGAAGCAGTTTTTACTGGCAGAGGAAATTGATAATCAGGGAGGCAGATTTAAAGCATTTGGCAAAAGAATTACTGGGGCTTTGTATGGGAGGGCATTATAGGGGACAAAGGTTAGAAATGCTTTTAGGTGAAGTATGATAAAAAAGTAGTGGGAGCAGACTAAAAAGCAACTTGCACAAGGAATTTGGATGTGTGGTTGGAAGGAGCTGTCTGACCGCTAGGCCAGAATAGCACCCTTCTCTGCTCTGTGGTTCTATGGTCCTTCAGTCACTCTGAGCCTTAGCTTCTTTTAAAAAACCCATCAGAAACAAATATGACATGAAACTGAAAGTTCAAGTAATGATTTTTTAAAAAATGTGCATAGGTTTAATGATTCACCACTAGTATTGTCCTCTTAAAACTGTTCAGATGCTAATTGTGTTAACCAACATGGGGAAAGAAATGTATCTCTCACAGCTGACTTTGAGAGGATTTGATGAGAAGCAGGTTTCATGGGGTTGGCAGTCAAGGGACATAGACTTAAGATATTTAGTAAAATAGTCAAGGAAGATCAGAATTTTGGATGCATAGTGAATAGGACAGGAGTCATGGAACTAATAGCTGTTTCAGAGAGCTGGCACAGACGTAAGGAGCCTTGTGCCTATTTCTGTGCAGCATCTTTCTGATTGTTACCAGCAATGATCACACAATGATCATTATCTTCAAAGCAAGGAGGTTACTATGCTGAATGTAGATATTTGATTAGGTGGATGCTGACAAGAGGTCTGCATCTGAATGGTCAACCTATATTCTGTAATTTCAGATACAGATAGAGCTGCTGCATATTTCAGACAACTTTACATTTTACGTGTGACTTCAGCTTTCCTGGATTTTTGCTTTTGTTTGTTTTTTATCTTTGCTTCTTTTTATTCTTATTCCTCTACTTCTTTAACTTTTAATTTTCTTTTTATATTAAACCTAATTAAACATATTCCAATCATTTCCCGATCACACTTTTTCTTTCCTTTGGCTCTCATCAATTATTTTGCAATGATTACCTCTTAAAGTCATGGCCTGTTTGCTCTGAAGATTGCTTGTTTCCTGCATTTCTTCCTGTTCTATTACATGTCATGATCCTAATGTCATACAAGTGCCATTCCATTCACAGAAACCAAACTTTACCCAAATGATCCTCTAAATAAATGAGGCTACACTGTTATTTCTGAAAGGAGACACAATAAGAAATGCTTTTTAGGCCAAGATTCTTCTGTGTGCATGTCATTGATTAATGTACATCAAAAACTTGATAAATTGTCTTTTCAGATGCTTATAGAATTATTGTGCATTTCCAGCATTTAATATTTTAATTTCAGCTGCCCAACATTTGCAGTTTTCCTTGGTCTTTTAATCAAATAACTCTTATCTCAAAGTTTAATTATCTGGTTTGTTGTTTCTATTCTTCATGTAGCGTCCTTTTACAGGAGGAACATCCTGGAAGTATCTCTGTGAAAGCCCTTTTACTTAATAAGGGAAGTTTATGATGACTTAGTCTGTCTTTTTTTCATTCTTTTGTTTTAAAACAGGGAAACTTGAAGTTTGCAATGGATGGTGACTCGGTTTTCATTGAAAACAGTAAATTGGTGTCCGTGATTGCAGAGCTGCTTTCGACAAAAAGTGACTTCGTGGAGAAGGCCTTGTTGTATCGGACTGTAGCTACAGGCCGGGATGTGATTGACAAACAACACACAGACCAGGAGGCAAGCTATGGAAGGGATGCATTTGCCAAGGTAATGGAATTAAAAACAGGCCTGCCTTCAAATGTAGTGGGAACTGCTGATGCTGGAGAATCTGAGATAACACGGTGTAGAGCTGGATGAACCCAGCAGGCCAAGCAGCATCAGAGGAGCAGGAAAGCTGACGTTTTGGGCCTAGACCCTCCTTCAGAAATTTCTTTTCTGACAGATTTCTGACAGATCCAACTTGTATAACTATATCTTTAACTATGAAGTGTATTGCCTTCAGTTCTTTCCCCAACAGCATGTTGTAAACTGAGTTTGATGCATATGTTTTCATCTCCTCCAAAACCATTATGCTTTTATAACTAGTGATTGCACTGCTGCCAGTTTGCAGGTTAGGTTTTTTAATGGGATGTGGGCTAGTTTCATGTCATCAGTTTAGAGTTGATAACTGAAGTGGTTCCCCACTGTAGAGCATATTAGAAGCAGTGAGAAGGTTGACCATACAGAGTTCAGTCCAATTCATTTAAAATAAAAGCAGCTTCTAAATACCTTCAGGGAAAATACTTCAACTTGAAGCAACTTTCAATGAATCAAGGTCGCAATTACATTTTGATGATCTGCTTTTAAGGCAGCTATGTAAACATGAGAAAATGCCTTTGAGCTGGCTGTGCGCCTATGGAACGATCGCCTCTAGAAAACGGCTTCTCTCAACGACTAATGTATTGACAACAATAACGTACGTTCCCAGACATTCTATATTTAAAAGATTCTAAGTTGAATTCTAGGCAGTCTAAGCCTAGGCATTATTTTACCATGTACATAATTTACTTCAATTTGAGAAAATAAGGATTTGCCCATTTTGGGAAGAAAAAAGATGGAAGCCCTGGAAGGGACAGCTTGGAAGGGTTAAAGTAACTTTTCTCTTGTTTCATGGCTTTTTTTGTGTGCAAACAATTATTGGGCCACTGAAAAATAACAATCATGCTTTTATCACCGAATTCATGGCATCCTACAAGAACATTTCACAGTAACTTAGCTATCTCATCTGAGCACAGTTGTATGCTCATTCAGTAGAACACGTTCTTTAATGTTGGTAAGTTAGCATACATAAACGGGCAGCAAGAAGTGGGAAATTGCCTTTGACCTGGATGTGGGCATTTGGATTAGTCTGGACTTGGGAAAACTGCTTCTCTCAATGGCTTTTGGGCATCTGTGTGACAACCATAATGCACAATCATTCATAGACATTCTTAATAAAAACAAGTTCCTGAATCACATTCCAGCATTCTAAATTTGACTGTTATTTATCCAGGTGCATGTTTAGGGGCAGTGCTTTCATGGAAAAACAAGCTACTGAGTAAAAGAAACAAAGTTATTTGTCTTGTTCTTGAGAGCAAAGAAATAAGAAATTGCATAAATATTTTCTAGAAGAAAGTGAAAGTGAGGGCGCACGTGTACCGAAGGAGGTTGTGATGTCAGTTTTGAAAAAGGAGACCAATCGTAGTAAATACACCATGTCCAGATGATTTGCATTTGAACTGGTGAGATATAAGTTGGCTGTCTTAAGAAGATTTGGCTGGGATCTCCTGTCTTCTATTTATTGAAATAATTTGGACATTGACACAAAAGGAATTGAAATTTGTTTAAAATTAAATTATGGCAAATTGAAGATCATGCAGGAAGGCATGAGCATGTGGTGGAGTTGAATGGTGACAAATACAATGATGTGAAATTTAAAGAAATAAATTATTAGCAGGTAATAAATGGAAGGAAATAGGCATTAAATAATATTAAATAATTAATTGAATAATAGAGGAACAGAGGTGTGCAAATATGTATGTACTTGAAGAGGGAGGTCAGCTAGACAAGACCTTTGGAAAAGAAAACTCTGTTCTATACATAAGGTCCCACAATACAAGAGCGGGGAAATGATCTTCCATTTGTACAGAGTAATAACTAGCCATGGTTAGAATACTAAGTAGCTCTGTGTATTCATTGCAGAAAGGGTATAAGAATCATGAAACAGATACATTGAAGGTTCTCTATAGTGATACAAGGATAAAACATTATAGTTATGGAGGAAAACATCATATAATTCGGGCTCTGTTCACACAGAAAAGCCCAACTGTGTGCATTTAAAGTTTTCAAAATTAAGTTCAGAGAATGTAAGTAGTGAAAGCTTGTCTCCATTTCATGAATCTGTAGGAACACTTACATTTAAGTAGTTTCTTTCCTGGAGCCCCACAGCTTATCTTTTGGACAAGGTTTGACACTGAGCCACAGAAGAAGAATCATTGAATCCCTTCAACGTGTGGAACCAGGCCATTCGGCCCCTCGTGTCCACACTGGCCCTCCTCAAAGGATACCACTCAGACCTATCCCCATCCTTGTAACCCTACATTTTTCATGGTTAATCTACCTAGTCTGCACATCCCTAGACGCTATGGACAATTTAGCATGACCAATCCACCTAACCTGCACAACTTTGGACAAAGGGAGGAAACTGGAGCACCTGGAGGAAACCCACGCAGAGATGGGGAGAATGTACAAATTCCACACAGACAATCACCTGAGGCTGGAATCAAATCCGGGTCCCTGGTGCTGTGAGGCAACAGTGCTAACCACTGTGCCACCAGGTTGCCCGTTTTTCTTTCCTTTTTTTTACAAGCTCAAAAGTTTTATTTCTTGTACTTAACCAGAACATGCAAAGTAGTGGTCAAGCATGAATTAATAAGGTATGCAAATTTAACCTTGTTCAATATGGAAATAATGATGCTACTTAATCAAATTACTTTTTTAAATCATATACAGGGTTTTAGGCATGGGTTACAATGAGTTCAAAAAGAAATTTACAAATTGAATCTGTCAATTTTTTGCTGGAAGTTTTGTTTTTGCACCACAAACAATATCAAACAGCAACAAATTGTGGAGCTTGAAGAATGTTAAATTTTTCTGTTATATTCTTTTGTGGAGATTAGAAGACCAGGTTTATTTGCCCCCTCCCCCCAGCCCTGTTAACAAGACCGATATCTTTGGCTTTCATTGTACAAGATGCTCTACCCGAAACACAATTTAAAAAAGGAAAAAGGGCAGTTATTTATTTTATTGAAATAAGAACATGGTCAGTCAACGAGAAAGTATGTGCTTCTAAAATGTACAAATCCAAGTTGTAAACCCATTTCAAAACAGACCTGAAAATTATTCATTACAGCATTCAAATCCATGACAAGTGTGGTTGTACAAAGACCATATAATAAATAACTTGATATAAAACAAATATTCCCAAGAGCCTTGGACAAGTGTTACAGGAACCAGATGTATAGCACAATATAAAACCCACACTCAGTAAATGTACATTTTAAAAAAGCCCAATCCCTACAAATCGAACCTGACCACACTATCAATATATAAAAATGCAAACAAAGGAATGTTTAAGCTTCTGCTACATATTCTGTCAACACTCCATTTTCTGACTTTTGCCACCTTTTTCAACTTCACCCCACTCCTCAGCTGGATGCTTCAATGCTTGTCTATCTGTATCTTCCTCCTCCTCAGCACCCTCTTCCTCTTCACCGTCCTCCTCTTCACCTTCACCCTCGACATCAGCAAGAAGCTATCAGGGCAAGTGATCATAAGTTTCATCAAGGAGCTATTTTTAATTAGGTCAAAAACAAAGGAAGTTGGGTGGTTTATGGAAGGAACTCCTGAGCTTACAGCCTCAGAAGTTGAAAGTATGACCATTGGTGCCAGAGTAGTTTAAAAGTGGAGATGCTCAAGAAGCCAGAAGTGAAGAGAAACAGATGTACCGGAGGATTGCAGGGATGGTTGAGGTTGCAGGGGTAAATTACACAGATATTGGCTTACCACTAGAGCAGTGAAGGAGGAAGAGTTGGAAGATTTTCTGATAGTTATTAAAAACTTGATTGCTTTAACACAAATGTCTGTTATATCAGACACTTGTGTTATTAATAAAGGCTTTTATGTCTGGTAGTATAGTTGTTATTATGCCATCTTGGGCTAAAGTGAAGCAACAAAAAAAGATAGTTCTACAATCCTGAGCTCTGGTCAGATATCCACGTTCATGTGCAACCAGTGTATGTATCAATGGAACTGTCCAACCGAGAGATTGAGTTCAAATTGGATAGTGGATTCAATAAATTTGCTAACTTTTCTGCTAAAACACTAGAGAGAAACAATCATGACAGACAGAGTGTCCAGCATCAGCAGTTCCTACTATCTCATGACAGTACTGCTGATCTGGCTACTACATAGCTTCCTTTTGAAGTGGTATAATTGTGCAACTCAGTTATAGAAGCATAAAATATGTGGATCATGACGACTTCAGGGCAGTTATGGATCAGAAATAAGTGTTGCTTTTCCAGAGTCGCAACATCCCAGGAATAAATTTTTTGAAAGTAAGAAAGGAAAGAAATAGCTTGGAAGTAGTTGTTCCAGATTCAATATATTAGGCAGAATGGCACTGAATACATTTTGAGTTTGTGGTGAAACCATTGACTTAGGGTGTTCTGATTAAACAGCCTCAGTCAAGTAGAATGCTGTTAGTTAACAAATAATTATTAACATCTGTTTAATCAATGTTTCGATGCTTGTTCTCAAATTGCAGGCAATATATGATCGGCTTTTCTGCTGGATTGTCAACCGAATTAATGACATTATTGAAGTTAAGAATTATGATGCCAAAATCCATGGGAAGAACACAGTTATTGGTGTCTTGGACATCTATGGCTTTGAGATCTTTGACAACAACAGGTATGCGATTAAACAAGCAGGTTGTGAGAATATCAGGGTGAACCTAGGGCATCAGTACATCTGGATAGGGGATGAGCAAAACAGAGCAGCCTCCTGCATAGTATTAGCCAGCAACTCTGCTGAATATGCATTTGTGTGGATTTCAAAAGGGGACAGCATTGGAATTAGCTGTGATGCTCGTTGACACTCGTCTTGTCTAACAATGGCTAATTTGGAGAAGCTATTGGAGTACTCCTGGTGCCCATGAAAACTGTGTCAGAGAAAACTGGGAACTTCAGAGATGCCACTTGAGAAAACAGGAGGTGACAAAGAGATAAAACATCTAGAAATTCTGTAATTGCAGCAACATGGGAAGGTTTCTGATGATGTGCATAACTGTAAAGTTTATAGCGGACCATATTTGAACCATGTACAGTTGCTGTGCAGGAACTTGCATTTGAGTCAAGCTCTGGTAACATTCTCCCATCTATGGTTGGATTAAAGCAATTCAGTGGGCATAAGCTAGAGGCTACATTGGTGATCCATGCCTACAGGCAGCATGAATTGCAAAACCAGGGCCATATTGCTTCAGACTGTCACTTTGACTAACACTGTCTCAACAGGATTGTGAGAAAACAAATAGAATAAGGCAGTAAAGCATTCACAGGAGAAATTGAAGTTTTTAGTCAGCGCAGTGCGTGTCCCATGTGAGATATTCATTGCATCTATATCATGTGCATCCATGTTTGAATTGATGTTCCTAGGCAACATATTAATTAATCTACAAAACATCTGTAATCTGCATTCAATTTCTAGTGGTCCCAATCATTGTAAAATACTCATGGTTTAAAATATTGCTGCAACTTTCCAATGGTGCTTTGGCTTGAGTACTGTATTCATGAAGCCCAGTTGCATTGTTAATCAGAGCGAAATAGACAAACACTAAATTAGATTAATTGTGCCATGCCAACTGAGACATCAACACCAATCAGTGTGAAGGAAGTGCTGACATTTCATGGTACCAAAGACTAGATGAACTCAGTCAACACCTTGAGGACAGTTGAGCACTCGAGCTCAACTGTTCAGGTGATACTGAATAGTTTAAGGTGCCAGCTGATGCCTTTATGAGCTAGTAAGACCTGCTAACCTTGTCTTTGGTTTGATACTGTTGTGGTGCATTTATGTTTGAAAGAATAAGGCAGTCACCTGTAAGAGATGGTAAAATCTGGACTAATCTACTTGGCAATTGGCAGTAACGTTTCCAGGCCATAATGAAAAGCAAGTTTGTGTGTGTGGCCAGGCAACGTAATATAAAAGTAGCTAGTGGGGTAGGGGGAAACTTCTCCTTACAACTGCTTAATCTAGATTCAATCCTGCTACAATCTGGATGTTTTTGTTCATAAATAGAGCAGGAGATCTCCTCAAGTGTCTTACAATTGCTGATTCCAAGTGAAAGATTCATTTGGTGATGGTTTGCACCTTTTGACGCTTGCTTTTTCTCCTCCTTAGTAATCTGACTGTGCAGAGGCTCAGTAAATGCCCGCCACTTGGTTTAGGTAAAGGGAGCGAAGGCATGATTGTTAGATCTGTCGATGAGACAAAGGTAGGTAGGAAAGACAAATATAGATAAATTGAGCGAGTGGACAAAAATCTTGCAATTGGAATATAACATGGACAAACGTGAAGCAAAGAATTATTTAAACGGAGAGTGACTACATATTACTGACATGCAAAGGGATTTGGGTGATCTAGTGCATGCAGTTACAGCAAATAATTAAGAAGGCCATTGGAGCACCATCCTTTTATTACACAAAAAAGTGAATATTAAAGACAAGATTTTAGGCATCAGTTATATTGGGTATTGGTGAGACCATATATTTCATGATGTGTGCATTTTGGTCTCCGTTATTTAAGGAAGATATAAATGTGCTGGAGGTGGTTCAGAGCGGATTTACTACATTGATACTTGGAATAAGCAGGCTGTCTTGTTAGGAAAGTTTGGACAGACTGGGCTGTTTTGACTGGAGCTTAGAAGACAGGTGATTTTGATTAAGTGTGCAAGACCGAATAGTCTTGACAAGATTAATTTGGAAAGTACACTTCCTCTTGTGAGTGAATCCTGAACAAAGAGGCAATGTTTTAAAGTTAGAGGACTCCCTTTCAGGACAGTGATGAAGAGAAATATTTTGAGTTGTGTGAATTTGAAACACTGTATCAGAAGGAATGGAGGCGGCGTCATTGAATATGTTGAAGGTAGAAGTGAATAGATTGTTGTTAGGGAAGGCATTCGAAGGTTATCTAAGGTAGATGGGTATATGGAACTCAAAGCACAAATAGATTAGCCATGATCTTATTAAATGGTGGAGCAGGTTTGAAGAATCAATTGGCTGCCTCCTGCTCCCAATTTGTATACTTGTAGGTACTAACAAGGCCAAGATTAAGTTTATATCCTACCACATAGGTAGGAAACTAAACACAAATAATTAAATACATCTGGAATGAAAATGCGGTTATCAGTAATGGTGGCCACATAACGACCGAATTGTTGTAAAAACCCCCTTGAGTCCTTGTGAAATGGAAATTTGCTGTCCTTGCTTATTCCAGCCAGACCCCCACATAGCAATAACTGCCACAGAAGGCTGTTTAGGATTGAGGTGAAGAGTAATTTCTTTCACTGACTGTCATTACTCTTTGGTATTCTCCAGAGAAGTGTGTTGACTCAGTCATCAAATATATTTCAGACTGAGGCTGATATTTTTCAATGTATTAAAAACGTCAAGGGACAAAGGGAAAATGGTATTGATTTAGAAGATCAACAATGATTTCATTGAATGGTGGAGCCAGTTCGATGGACTGAATGACATCCTGTTGTTGCTTTCTTTATAGCTGCTCTCTGAAATGGCCTGGAAAGCCGCTTAGTTGTCAGAAAAGGTGGCTCAAGGGAACTTCAGCAATAAATGGGGTCATTGCCAGTGACATCAATGACCCATGAATGAATTTTCTAAGGATTTATTTGTGACAGCTTGTTCTTACGTAACAGCATAAAATGTCCAGGCTGTTGTGTGAAAAATGGACACATGAAGAATGATGAACACGTGGAGCTATAACTTGAGTCTCCGCATTCAGAATGGGATTGAATTAATTGAATGGGTAACAATTAATTACAAAAGAATTTACAAGGTTTCCTCTTGAGGTTTCTTCTAAATTACCTGGAGAAAATTTAGTTGATGACAGCAACACAATAGACAAGTCTGAACGTTACTGATAGTAACTGTGTTTTTGTGTATCTCCAGTTTGGAACAGTTTTGTATTAACTACTGCAATGAGAAACTGCAACAGCTCTTCATTCAGCTCGTCCTGAAGCAGGAACAGGAAGAGTATCAGCGTGAAGGTATCCCCTGGAGACATGTAAGGAACAGAGCAATTTTATTTGTGTGTGCGCGCGTGTCAGATTGTAATGAATTGCTGAAGCAATGGGATGTTCTTGCTGATGACTTGCTGCTTGTCTTTTCCGGTGAGTCACTTATGTATGCTAAAGCTCTGCCAAGACTATTGTAATAATGTACCTCAGACAGGCACTGTCTGCTTCATCAGGGTAACTTTCATTTAAATATTTTGCATATATGCATTGCATTTGGGCAATCCACAAATCTAATTTTTTTTTCCAGACTCCCCTTGCCAACTGGTAAGTGAATTAAGACTGACTTAATCAGATTTTGGATGTAGCACTTCCCATCGAGTCAGCTTCATCAGCTTTTGCGCAGTGTGACCCTGCAGCTAAATTTGAACTTGTGTCTCAGAGCTTAGCAACAGTGCAAGATCATCGGATTTCTGTCAAAAGCTGACAGCTAATAGTCCCAATGCAGAGAAACAATGTTTTCATTAGTTTGAGCAGACAAATGTTAAACAAGTGCCCTATATGACAGCCTACTTGGATAACTGATAAATCCCTGTTCAATATGGCATATGTTTTCTGTTTTATGTGCCAACTGGATATGCAAGAAACATTGTTAAAGCAAATTTCACATCATTGGATATGTTACCTGAGACTAGGATCAGCAATAAAAATATATTAATAAAATGGAGGCAACATATTTTTGTTTTTCTGTAAGGTATGCATTGAGAATCTGATGAGCTCCAACTGTGTATAATTGAATGGAAAATGTTTTGTTAGGATAAAAGAAAGAGACTTTCATTCATAATATGCCTTGCAAGGTGTCAGGATATTCCAAAATGATTTGCAGTCTGCAAAGTACTTTTTGAAGTCTGTCACTGTGGGGATGGTGGAATTACAGGAAGAATTTCTTCAAGGTCCCAAAAATAACCCAGGGATAAAATGGCACATAAGTGTTTTCAGGATGTCGATAATTACTGGCCCTTTCTCTTCTTTATACATTCCACTTGATGCAAATAGCTTAAAACGCTAATTCTAACCCTTCCCCCTTCCTTTTCTCCGCTTTTAAACAGTGATAAATTATAATTCAGTTGTTAAAAGTGCTGAAATCTTTCTTTTGAGATTCCAGGAAGGTAACTACTTTGCATAATAAATGAGAGTTCTTACTCCACCTTATTCACATTATAAATTATATGTATTCTGTTAATTTTGATTTCTGCTTAAAGGATTGTGGATGTAATTGACCAAATATTGAATATCCGAACGGCAAATGACTACTTGGTCTCTCTGCAGATTGACTACTTTAACAATCAGATCATTGTGGATTTGGTGGAGCAGCAGCACAAGGGTATCATTTCAATTCTGGACGATGCCTGTGTAAATGTTGGGAAAGTCACTGATAAGATGTTCTTGGATGCTTTGAACACCAAACTACAAAAACATGCACATTATTCCAGCCGGAAGGTAACTCTCCTCCAATTAATTCTAATGGTGAATGTCGATGAATGTGGCATGCTTGATGTGGGCTTTCTGAAATCATTTATCAGCAAATTGAAGCCTGTTGAATTAAAATGATTGTGGTTGTGTGCATATCAAATTCACTAAGAAGCACTGGACTGAGAAATTTGGAATTCTAATTTTTAGAGCATGGAATTCCACCTGAGGTGGTGAATTGGAAAAAAGAACTTGAGGGTGCCCATCACTCAGCTCCTTGGTAATCTGCCAATTCTGAACTGGCTTTGACAGACTATGTCTGTCCAGTAGCTGCAGTTTCACTATGTAGCCAGTAGAGTGTGTTCCTGTACTAGGCAGTAATCTTGGTGCTACGTGTGCTATATGAGTTATTGCTGGGTTGGGTGGAGAGCACCAGGCTAAGGGTTAGCAGTGGAATTTGGGGCTTGACGTTAGGTAGTGGGATGCTGATGGCAACTAGAGAAATCCAGATAGTGGGGAGGTCGGAGGAGGTGATGGCTGTGTAGATACAAAGGACATGAGTGAAGGTTTGGAGTGAGGCAGAGTGGGAAGATGGGTATGTGTGAGCTGCAGTGAGAGCTTCACTGAGTCTGTCACTATAGAACATGGCATATTTGGCTGGAATCGGCATGACTATATACTGTTAGAAAATTCTGACAAAGTACTTTAAAACTCAGATTTTCATATAGAAATGTGTTTTATTTTCAAATCAACTTATTCAAACTTCTCTGAGAAAGGTAGAACTTCAACCTGCACTTTCTGGCCCACAGGTATAATATTATCACTGTGTGCCACAAAACCCTTTAAGATTAGCTACTAGTTTTATTTGATCTGTAATATATGAGCATTCATGTAACAAATGCTTCTATGGTGCTTTATTGCTGCTTTGTTTTAGCTAGTATCTGGGGTCATGGTAATTTTCAGGATTTTCTTCATTAAAAAAATAAAAGTTCATTCAAAGGATGTGGATATTGCTGACAAGGTCAAGCCTTTGTCATTCATTTTTAATTGTCTTTGACAAGATGCAGATTAATTAGAATGTGGCCAAATTGGAAAATAGTTTATGAAGCACTGCTGTCATCTTTTTCTTTGCTTTGCAAGTATAAAATGCTACTTTCTGTTATCATGCAAGGTAAAGTTTGTAATACCTGCGGACTGTGTTCATTGTTGAAATGCTGAGATCACTTTGGTGATTTTAAAGAAACGCGTTGGTCCGTTGTCTTGATGGTAATAGAAAGTGAAGTAATGTTTTCATTCACTTGAAATCTAATGATCCCACCCATTTGAAGTGCCTGGAACATTTGCATTTCACTACAGATCATTTTTAAAAAGTGCTATGATTATACAAAAGTGAAATACTGCAGATGTTGGCCATCTGAAATAAAGACAGAGTTGGATGAACTCCGAAGACCTGGCAGCATCTGTGGCGAGAGAAATAAAGCCAATGTTTCAAATATGATATGATGACAACTCGGAGCTATGTTTCTCTCTCCAAAGATATTGCTAGGCATGCTGCATTTCATGTAAAATTACATAATGCCTTTTCACCAAAAAAAGTCAAATGTTATTTTGTTTTTGGCCAATCTAATCCCAGATAGCAGAATGCAGAGAGTACAAGTGACAAGTTCCTTATTGGACTGTAGGGAAGTGTAGAGTCCACTTAGGGTCGGTATTTGAATCAGTGCTCCTTTTACATATATGCCTAATTTCAAAGTTTGAAAATGGCAGAATAAGTGGAAGTGTAGTTAAGCGTGAGGCGAGCAACAGCAGACTTAAGGATGATATAAAAAAATCATAAAATGGACTGTCAAGTGAAATTTAACACTCCAAATTTGCAGTACAGGATAGGTTGAATGTCACAACTTAATCAAGAGCCAAGTAAGTAGAAAGAATCACTTGCAGGTATGAAAAGCAAAACAAATCATGAGCATCAGGAAGTGTGAAAGTGCATTTGATGAGGAAGAATAAACAGTAACAATGTAAACAGCTGTGATTTCAGAAAAATCAAAAGACAGGATTTTGTAGACACATTTCTTTGGAGATGGCAGGGAACGTTGGTAAGGCAAGTATTTTTAGAAATGGAAGCATGAAGTTATTTGCTTTGTAGATGGAACTACGTAGTACAAAAGTTAGGCTAAACCTTGGTAAGCCACTGAGAGATTTACTAAAGTGACATCAGTGACATGGAGAGATTGGAGAAACTGGCATTGTTCTTCTGAAAGCAGAGAAGCTTAAGGAGAAATTGTACATTTGTGCTGTACTAAAAGAAGTTGTGATTTGTCTGACTTTCATAATTGGGTATGACTCACCTTCTACTTGCATGCTCTTGATTAAGATGTGACATTCAGTCTGGCCTGAACTGTACATTTGTACTGTTCATTAATTGTATCAATTAAGCTAAGTACATACAGGTGGAGGGCATTGAAAGAGAGACTCACGAACAAAGTTGCATTGAGATTTACACGTGTGGTCTTTTTGCTCTGAATAAGGCTATCTGAACAAAAGTTTCTCCCTTTGCCAATGAATGTTTAGCATCTACAAACAATGTTAGATGGTTATACTGTGATAATTGCCACTAACTGACTTTGGAGTATATTGACTGCTTATTGCCAGAAATGAACTGCTGATACATTTAGATTAGTTATTATCATGCACATTAACCATTTATGACGGCGGTCTGAGTAGATCTAAAGGACAACATACCTGTGTGTGTTTTCTTTGCTCCTTTGTGTAATATGATGTGCAGATCAAGGAAAATGTATCAAGGAGCCTCTTTAATTGGAAAGGCAATATTGCGCATCAAGAAAAGTAGGATTATTATTACTTCATAGTTATCTGTATTTTTTTTAATGGAATCCCTACAGTTTGGAAACAGGCCCCTCAGCCCAACAAGTCCACACCGACCCTCAGAGCGTCCCACCCAGAGCCATCCCCCTATTTTGCATCCCTGATCACTACAGGCAATTTAGCATGGCCAATCCACCTAGCCAGCACATCTTTGGACTGTGGGAGGAGAAAACAGAAGCACCCGGAGGAAACCCACGCAGACACTGAGAATGTGCAAACTCCACACAGACAGTCGCCCGAGGGTGGAATCGAACCCGGGTCCCTGGCGCTGTGAGGCGGCAGTGCTAACCACTGAGCCACCGTGCCGCACCTAAAGCATCCCACCCAGACTCCCCCTCCGTCCTCATCCCTGCATTTCCCAGGGCCAATACACCTAACCTGCACATTTTTAGACTGTGTGAGGAAACCACACAGACACAGGGAAAATGCACAAACTCCACACAGTCACTTGAGATTGGAATTGAACCCCGAATTCCTGGTACTGTGGGGTAGTAGTGCTAACCACTGAGCCACATTGTAATTGCACAACTAACTTTATTATTCTATAAGACACAAAACAGTGTTTCATTTTTCCTGATAATAAAATGGAAACCTAACTAAAACTAGAACCTCCTCTTCCAACTTGGGAGAAAAGCAGAGAACTGACTCCCTGTTGTCACCTTAAAGTCCTGGAAACATTTACGCACAACATTATATTGACGGTCCAATTAACAACTTGTTTTTCTTTTTCATTAGGGACTCCATAAGTTCGTTCTTATACTTCTTTGTAAAGATAGTTAATACAGAAGTTTATCTGTGCACATGAACAGGCATATTGAGTAATATATTGTATTACGAAGGAAAGTCCGGTTTTATTTTAGTTTATGCATCAGTGAGCATTGGTGAAACTTTAAAACACAGCTTAGAAGCACTGCTTCAGTATAACCCCATTTTAGGACTTGAGGAATAACATGATTGCAAGTACCAACAAAAAGAAACTGGCAATGAGGCAGCATAGTAACATCCAGTATATAATTACTAAATATAGTAAATCAACACAAAATAGATCAAATGTAAAACACATGAGATTAAAGATGCCACAATTGTTCTCACAAAGGAAAAAGACAAAAATCTGTATGTGAAATGACCACAGTGGAATCTTGCTGTGAAAGATGGTAAGATTCTAACAAAAGTTCTACTCAACACCCCGCTAAGCCATAAAGCAGAATCTGTACAGCCAGCATTACCAATTTGCCTGTGAAACATCGACTACCCGCCCCGACCCAGAAAAAAAAATCTGGCCAATAAGAAGCTCCCCTTACAACTGTAATGCTGTGAGGGTGGCCAAATGAGCTTGTCCTACCGGGACTTTGGTCCTTCACTGGGAGTGAGTCCTACCCCGAGAACTGCCAGCCAGTCACATTGGCCGACAGCCCCAGAGCTCCCTAGAGGTCACTGCCTGGACTGTGCAGACCCAGGAAGGGAGCCCATTGAATGGGGGGTGGAATGGTGGTGAGGGAATAGAATTTGTAGCAGGGTTGAGGGGGTGGAGGGAAATGTCTTCTCTATATTTTTTAAGAATTTAGAGAAGCATGTAATGTGTAAGCATGTAAGTATTACAGAGGAGTATTCATGGGTGACCCTAATCTGCATTTAGACAAGGTGAACCTAAAGAGCACAGATGCTTGTAGACGATTGATTTTTGGAGGGTGCTAAGGATGGTTTTCTACAACAGTACATTGAGAAACCTTCTAAACAATGGACTATTTTAATTATTCAACTAATTAATAAAGAAACAAAAGAACTGCAGATGCTGCCAATCAGAAACAAAAATGGAATTTTCTAGAAAGGCTCAACAGGTCTGGCAGCATCTTTGGAGAGAAAGCAGAGTTAACATTTCAGGTCCAGTGACCCTTCCTCAGGACTGATGGTAGCTAGGAAAATGTTTTCTTACGCAGAAGGTAGGGTGGGGGAGTGGGTAAGGAGTAAACAATAGGTGAAGATAGAGCCCAGAGAGAGAGGAGAACAGTTGGACAGACAAAGGAATGGATAATGGTTAGTCTAGGAGAATGAATAGCTGCTAATGAAGACTATTAGTGGCTAACAATGGGTAATGTGCAATAGCAGACCATGTGATGATCAGGCCTGGTGTGTGGGGTTGGTGT